GAATGTCAGAGGCATTGCCAGGCCTGGTGCTCCAATCACCTCGGTCCCAGTGACGTGCGAATCTGTTCCGTCTCTGGTCCAGGCGAGGCGATGCACGACACAGGACAAAATCCTGTCGTCGCGTCTTCGATCGGACAGACGCAGCACACTCAAGTGTCGAAGGTGGCATCTTACCAGTTTGCATGCGCTGAATGATCGACAACAGCCCGTCAAGTAAGTGTCGCAGAATCGTGCAGTGGAAGGCGTCGGCAGAGGAATTCCCGCTGGTGATGGAGAAAAGCTCGCCACGGTGGTGCCCGCAGATGGATGCGTTCATTGACATCGTCCAGGCCAGGCAGAGAAGCCGCAATTGCAGAGATGAGCACAGTGCAATTCATTTTGGTAATTTTGGGATATTTTGGTGTCTGCGTGCCGCACAATCTGCAGGTTGGCACACACGAGGATGCGTTCTTTGTCAGCGGACGCAGCAGGCAACCAAAAGAGATCTCTTGTGTTGGCATTGAGATCGGCTTGCGCCCAGGCAGCCGGACACGCAGCGCTTTTTGGAGTTCTTTGTGGAACTGCGGTGTCGGTTCCTGCGCGCCTTTGGGAGAAGCATTGACTTCAGCTGCAGCTGCCATGCATCGGACATTCAGATGAACTTACAGAAAGCAGACACCTCATGGCCTCATGAGCCCACTGTGTTGAGCTGCTGGAAGTGGTGCCTTTGGAGGAAGATGGGGACTTCGTCTTTATCCTTGCGCCCTTGGCCTGCATGAAGAAGGTGCGTGTTCCCAAAGGTCAGGGCTGCCTGGGCCGGGCCCTGAGCACCGCCGACAGAGGGCGCCAGACTGAAAAGTAGTGGTGTCTCGGTGTCTCTTTCTTTCCGCTGTACGGTGTTTTTGCTCTGCAGCGAGGCCTGGACTTTGACTTTGAGAACCCAGACCTTGGCGAACGTGTAACTCAGCACAAAGACCTGCCCATCGCGACCGTGGATGCCTCCCAAGGGAAAGGACTCACAGTTTGCACTTGCGGAAGTTGCTGCAGCGAGCGAAGCGAAGCGTGGCGGAGCGAGGCGCCTCGAACCGCTAAGATGCTAGGAAACTTCCTGGTGAATACCCGGGAGCACTGGAAAATGGCACTCGAGGGGCGTCCAATCCTAGTTCGCCTGCCACTTCGACTGAAGAGATGCGTTCCCAGCATTTTCAATGCATTTTCTTGCGCTAAGCTGCTTCAGCTTCGTGAAGCCCCGCTCAGGTATGACTTCAACCGCAAGCCGGGTGCACGCTTAATAGCACAGCAGATGATTGATGATTTATTCGGAAGAAGGCCATAGGACGCCATAGGCGAAGCCGCGGCGAAGCCGCGCAGCCATGGCCCGGTGACTTTTGCCCTAAGGGACCACCTTTTGACCGCTGGGATACTCTGATATTCAAAGTCTAGCCGCCTCAGAGCTTAGGTCTTGACGAGGTGCAGCTGCAGACCAAACCGGACAGAGTCTAAACGCCTGATTGACAAAGGACCCTCAACACTCCGTAAACAATTTTCAGTGGCCGGAGTTTCGCGGACCGTTCGGGTCTCCGTTGTTGCACCCGTCTTCAACCCCTCAGGAGACTCCTCGCCCGATATCAGCCCAAGTCTAGCTTGTGCTGGGACGTGCCGCCGCGCCACCTTAACTGGCCGTGGGCTGGATAGGACCGGTGTGCGCAGGCGCTCGAAGTCAAGGAACCTGCGAGCACGGCATGACCAGCGGGTGCATGGGATGTTTTTGATGATATCCCCACGAGCGCAGGTGCACACTGGAGAGCTTAGCTGTTTGACTGCAATGTGATGCACCTCAAAGGAGGGCATCGCGAGTTTGAGTATTTTCGAAGTTGTCGTCGGACTGCCCACATCTTGCCGGATGCAGTGGATGAATCACTGTTCTATGCCGATCCATCCTGCGCAGCGCAAAGCTTTCAATTGGCTGCACGCGGCAATCCGGCCTGCATGCCTGCCTTAGCTGCGTCGGACCGCATGCTGGTCACGCTTCAGCGATATCCATGTATTCGCCAAGTTTGGCACAGTGCCGTACTGCGGAGCAGTGCAATCAACGCATTTTCTCAAGATTCCATGTGCTGGGTGCCATTCGCGACTAGTTCTCCGTAGCCAGCAGACGAAAAACTGACAATTGCATGTAAGTAAGCGGATGACGATGGTCGCTGGGTCGGCTGTAGCTCTGCGAGGCTCTGGAAGATTTTGTGCGACACTTTGCTGGCGACTGGGTGCTCCGGCAGAATGTGGGAGTTTGTCTGCGCGACCGTCGCCCTTTCTTGCTTGAGGCTTGTGCGTAGCTTCCTGCGTGATTGCCGGCCCCTCAGCAGAAGGCAGAAGGTCCAGGAAGGGCGAATGCCACTGGAAGGCTCGGAGCTGGCCCTGGCCACGCCCGGGCAAAACGTGGCTGCTTTCTTGCGAACGGCAGCTCTCCAGGAGGACCTGAGCTGCGGGCTAGCTATGAATTTGCAAGACCCTCCCCAGCACACGCATACTTGGGACAGCAGGTCTTGCGGATAAACTCTGGCAACAGGAGTCTGCATGCAAACGCCCTAGATCAAAGCCAACCTCTCTACTTGGCTCGTTTGACATGCCTTGATGACTTAGGTCTGGTTCTGTCGTTCTTGCTCATCTAGTCTTCTCTTCGATCCTTTGCTTGCCGTCAGCAGTCGATCAGTACAGTTGTCGAAAGGCCCTGGATACGCGTATCGACGTGTGAGTGTGCATCTGTCTCTGTGTGTGTGTGTGCATGTCTTCTGCAGTGTGTGTTCGGGTATTGCTGTCTTGCCATGCGCAGGACATAGACCTAGCTGCCATGCCGGTGCTCTGCTGCATCGCGGCCAATGCTCACCTGGTACCCTCACAGGCTGGCAGAACAGCGCGAATGCGCCTACGATCCCAAGTCTTTGAATAAACAGGTCGCCGAGTTCACGACGCGCTTGCTGGAGCTTGATGACAAGGCTTGCGATGTGGTCTGAACAGTCGACTCAACGGGCGAGGGTGCATGCTTTGTTTTGACAGGAGCAATGCATCGTGGCCCGGGAGCTTGAAGGATGGAGGGGGCCAGTGGTGTCGGACACGAAGGCCAGTCGAACTGAAAGTTCTTGTCGTTTCGCATCTGGATTTAATTTGCAGCTCTGCATCTGCGTGGGTGGAGCTGGGCACGTCGCAGCAACAGCCGAAGCGGCCAAATACGACTGCGGCTCCGCCCTTCGTAAGTGGTCAGGTAGACGCAGGCTTTTTCCAGGTTAATCACGACGGTCACACCAACAGCCGTTGTGGCCTCTAACTTCAATCGTCCCCTTCGTCGGCATCTCATGAGGGTTTTCCGGCAAATCCAATGAAAGGAAGCAAATCCCAAGCGTGGATGCGACGGTAAGCGGAACAGCTTAAAGAGACGGTCCTGCGAGATGGGAGCACTTGCTGCAAATGCAGGCTGCGTGGTTGGCGCTGTTGCGTGCAGTACCGGCCCCTCCCGTGGGAGATGCACCTCCAGCTCCACCACCCACACCGCTGCAGATGCCTCAGCGGCGGGTGCTGGCCATGGGTGGTCTGGAGGCCTCGGTTGCGCGCAGAAGTTCCGATCATTGTGGCTCCGGGGTTCTTGGTGAGACTAGCAGGGTGGCAAGGCATGCGGCTAGTTGGAAATCTAGGACATTGCGAACGGCGTTGTGCTCAATGTGCTCATGCATTTAGAGATCGTGGTAGTTGAACTGTGCCTTGTGCCTCCCATGATCGACTGTGTTACCTCGTCATGACGCGGAATAATGACATCTTCACAACAAGTGTGTGTCCGCCCTTGCTAGAGCTGTTGCTGGTTTTTCTGTTGTGGCGGTCGGTGAGGCGAAACTTTTAGTGCTTGCTCTGCTGAGCAGAGGAGCTTTTCGTGGAAGCGCCGGCGAACATGCTTCTCGGCTCGGAAGGTGTCCGGGCGCTGCCCTTCCCAATAAAGACTGCAAAGCAGCTTAGCCCCAAGATGCTAATTCCAGGTCCTGTGCGTTGGACGGCCTGCTTCTCACCGACCCTGTGATCTCTCCGCATGGACATGTCTTTGACCATGCCTCCCTGGCTGCTGCTCTGGCTGAGAAGCTTGCATGCTCTCAAGTTGAACTGAACAGTTCAACGTTCGGATTCTTGCCGACTGCATCTGGTATGAACCTACTGCACATTGCGGACCTGAGGAATGGCGGGCTCTGCCCGTTCACGGGTAACCTCCTCAGGGTGGACATGTGCATACCTGACGCGGAGCTGCGCAGTCCGAGCCTTGCACAAAGAGTGTGGCAGCAAACTACTTCCTGTTCGTTACTTTCGATATGTGTCGGGGTCTGGAATGCGAAGGTTCTTGTTCCCGCCACATCAAAAGCTGGGCTCGGGCCATGCTGCGGGAAACAGCTTCCGGGTGCTTAGATCAAAAGGCAAGCAAGTCGGACACACTTTCAGAGTGAGAGAGAGAGCTTTGGTGCCGAAATCTGGGCTGAGAATATCCGAAAGTCCTGTGGGCTCGTCGAGTAGCACTGACGGGGCGCTGTCCTCCCATGTCTTGGCCGTTGTGGGGTGAACTGTTCTTTCCCGGCCATGGAGGCTGGACAGACACATCCCATGTCGAGTGCATGCTAAGACTGCCAAGAATCGGGGCAGGATGAGGCCGAAAGGCAACGACAACGGGTGCTTTCCCGAGAACTTGTGCTTTGAAATCCTGTCGTTTCTTCGCGGAGCTGTGGGCTTCGGATCAGGCAGCGTCCCTGCGCAAGTTCTTACAGATGCAGCAGGCCCGGTGGAGCTCTTTTGTCCAAAGCTTTCAAGCGAAAATACCCGGGGAGAGCGGCCTTTACAGGCTGCAGGGTTGGCGGTTCCTGGAATGGAGATCATGGTCTGGGCCTTGCTTGTCAACTGAGCCCATAGCCATAGATGTGCACTATATGCTAGCTGCCGCTGCCCAGAATTCGAGAGTTTCTAGACTCTGGACGGCAACATGACTGTCTGTAGACATGTCTTCCGCTCCAATGGCCGCATTAAAGAGTGCTTCCTCGGCTCTCAAAGCCCTGGCACGGCAAGCGCTGCTTGTCTTCATTGGATGTGGGTGGTGCTGTAGTAGGGCCACGGCGGCAAAGGACCTAAACTAGGAAAAGGGGTTTCGATTCAGCACATTCAGTACCAATAAAATCGACGCTGCTTTTTCGCACACGAACTTGCCAAAGAAAAAGTAAGCAAACAAAAGCACGCAAGTACTGTAATGAAAAAACTGTCCCTCTCCCTCTCTATGTCTCTGTCTCTCTGTCTCAGTGTCTCTCTGTCTCTATCTCTCTCTGTCTCTCTGTCT